AAATAAATGCAGTCTAAAAAATCTATAATATATATATTTATATTACTTAAATATATATTACTTAAATTATATGTATATATATATATATATACATGTAATTATACATATGCATATACGTATGTGTATATTTTTAATATTTTGTTAACTTTAAAATACATAATTATAAATACAATCTGCATTTGCTAATATCGGCAAATCCAAATAAATCGGATAATTTGAATTATTTAAATACTTTGAAAACTTAGATGCACAATAATTATTGAATAATAACTCGAATAATAATTCAAATAATTCATCATTCGAATACTTGGAATATCTAGATTTGAACAATGGAATATTAATCAGTTTGTATATCAGTTCAAATCAGATATTTCAAATATCTAAATGTAAATAATCGAATGATAATTAATTCACATAGTTCAAAATTATTAATCAGCTATTTTTATATAGTCTTGGTTCAGAAATATTTGAAATCGAAAAATCCGTAGGCATCTAATTTTTGTATCTGCAGAAGAAAATCATTAATATAAAATAGATATGAAATTAAATTTAAAAAATGTAAGTAAAAATATGTTCTCTGAAAATAAAATAAATTATAAAAGCTGTACTTAGAATTTATTTATAAAGATTAGCAAGTGAAGTAATTAATAATAAAATTGTGAGCCTTGCCGATTCTATCCACTAACAAAAGTTGGAAATTCAAATTTCCATTGAGTAAATTTTATAGGCCATGACATATATCATAGATTTCAGAATATTATAGAAAAATTAAAGCATGACTTTTATTCGTAATAGAATCCCAAATTTTGAAAATGTTTATTAATAAATTAGTATATGATAAAACTAACTGATGGATATTAACAAGGCCATGCTTTATACATTTTGTATATTGCAATATTTAGATTTACCTTGACTTGTCCATATAATACTGAATAAAATATTCATTACGCGAGTGATAAGGAAGATTCTAAAAAAAGATTTGATATGCAATTTACTATCATCAATTTAATATTATATAGCATGTTTTTTTTATTCTATTAGATACATTAAGAAAAAAATTTACTTTTATTTATTTAGATATTATTTAAAAAGAATTACTAAAATTTTTATTAGATTAAATATTACATAAAAAATTATTAAAAGTACAGGCTTTATCTTTTTATCTTTAAGTTATACATTATTAGATATGTGTATATGCAAGATATATAGCAGATAATTATCAATTTTATAGCATATATTTTTCAATTTTATGCAACTTAAATTTAAAATGACCAGATTATACAATCACAAAAAAAATACAGAAGAAAGCAATCAAGCGAGTGGGGAGAGGAGATTAAAGTTTTATATATTTTTTTACTAACATGCGGATAATCTTGCAAAACTAAACAATATTTATTTTTGTATTTAAAATATTTCACAAAATCTAAAATAAAATATCATTTATATGTTTAATGTAATTAACTAATTTTATAATAATTTTAATGTCATAAAGACAAGTCTTTCAAGTCTATTATAAATCAATGTAACTTATAAATTTGTTCCTGTTCAGAAAAAGATTAAACTTAATGTTATGTCCTCTTGACATATAATCCCATTAAACTTGTATTTGTTTAAATTGCATCAAGAGCAGAAAAAATATACAAACAGTACGTTCCCATGGAAAATGCACATATAAGAGACAATGTGAAATTTTTCTAATAAATAAACAAAGATATATTATAGTTTCTGAACATTGTATGTTATTAAGTTTTATATTTACATTAAAATTTATCATAATTTAATCTACTAATCTATTTCCATAATATAAATATCTCCTTTTGAAATTCTCTTTGCATTAATTACATATTAATTATACATATTAATTATACAAGACGTATGCATATGAATAATGCTCAAAAACCCAGTTATATGATTAACAAAATTAAATTTTTTCCTTTATATTAAATAATACTTGAAGTAATAAATGAGTTTAATGTGAGAAACGATACGCATATTTTGCTCTGATAATTTCAAGGAAGTTCAAAGTAGCAACAATAAAATATTCATATCATAAGAAGTAGGGATATCTATTTTATTATAAAAAAGTCACTGTTTCTTGTCTCTCGCCTTTTAATTGTGATTCGTCCTTTCGTAGAATCAGTTAAGTCAGTTTCTGGCGAATTCGTTAAGTTCTGTATGATAAAACAAATCATAAAATTTCTATATTGTGCACAAGAATTAATAAAAGAATTAATTATAAAAATTTCACAATTGATGAAACATTTCAATTATTGTTAGATAAAAGTGTTCCTTCTCTTTCTTTGAACTGTCAAAAACTGTCAAAAACTGAAAGAAAAACCTCAGAAAGATGGCTACGAACAAATCAACTAAGTCGGGTTACAAACCATCCGAACCTGGCGAAGAAATCGTGATTTCCGGTATTGCCGGTAGATTTCCGAAATCTAACAATATGGAAGAACTCAAAAAGAATTTATTGAATAAGGTGGACCTAATCACGGATGATGATTGTCGATGGAAATTAGGTAATTAACAGAAAAAGTAATAGATAATAAGATAATAGTAATAAATAAGATAGAACATTTTTATTTTTGTCCTAAATAAAAATAAATATATTAATATTAATATATAATTAAGTCTCTATTGGGCGCGGGCTCAAGCAAATTTTCTTCTTTTATAATAAACAATACTTGATACAAGCCAGTATATACGTTAACAAACAACAGCTAGTAACACAGCCGGTTTCGTGGCAAGCAGCCACGTCATAAATATACTTGCCAGAGCTATTTTGTTCTCTCTCAAAGTAGATAATCAAATTTGAAGAAAGTAGAATTTGTAAAATTATTATTATAAATTTTGTCAACAGAATTTGTAATCAGAAATGTAATACAATCTATTAAAAGAAAATTGACTGTGTAGACACCGAGCGAAGTTTACAATTTTGTAAGGGATTAAAAAATATATTCCATTTGAAAATATTGCCATATTCTTGTTATATATTTATAATTAAGTACAATTATAATACTTATTTATATTTTATCCTAGTTGCAGTTATTAAAAATCTCCGGGTGTATATGATTGTGTGTACGTAATATTTCTTATGTTCCATGCAGATCATCCGGATATCCCCAAACGCATCGGAAAGATCAGTAATGTCGACAAATTTGACGCGCTGTTCTTCGGAGTCCACTTCAAGCAGGCCCATACAATGGACCCGATGTGCAGAATGTTATTAGAGCACGCGTACGAAGCCATCATCGACGCGGGGGTGAATCCAAAGCAATTACGCGGATCGCGAATCGGCGTCTTCGTCGGCACGTGTTTCTCAGAATCCGAAAAAACTTGGTTCTACGGAAAATTACAGGTAAATTCTTATTCTTCGCAAATGGTAAAAAAAAAAGGACAAGTCAAAACTGATGATTCAGAATTCACTTTGAAATTTAGATCTTTGACGTAGACGTCATAGAAAAAGAGGAATTAAATTAGGAGGAAAACAAATTGCACGCACTTGCCAATTATCCTTCTACCCTTTTTGTCTTTTTTGTGTTTAATTATTGATTGAAAGGAAGGAAAATATAGAAAAATGATGCGGAAGTATGGATTTTGCAGTGAGATCAGATGTTAAGGATTTTGAACGAATCTAAAGCGAAATACATGGTCGTAAATAGCAAGAGATTATTTTTCCGTTTTCAAACTTTTTGTAGAAGATGAATGGCTTCGGTGTCACTGGATGCAGCAGAGCTATGTTGGCGAACAGAATTTCCTATTGGCTAGGAGTGACCGGGCCATCTTATACTATAGATACCGCCTGCAGTTCGAGCTTATACGCCCTTGAACACGCCTATCGGTGTCTGCGAGACGGTCTATGCGAGGCCGCCATTGTGGGTGGATCAAATCTATGTCTTCTCCCCGGAATGTCAATGCAATATTCTCGTCTCGGT